AACCACTTGTAAAAGAATGAAACTAGAACACTTTCTAACACCATACACAAAAATAAACTCAAAATGGATTAAAAATCTAAACGTAAGGCCAGAAACTATAAAACTCCTAAACATATAATTTTAAAATCATGTATCGCCCTCACTATAAACAGGGAAAAATGCTGAACTCTGAAGACTTTTCCTCCCCTTTCTGTCATAAGAGGAAATAGAAAAATTAAAATTCATTGAACTTTTGTTTCCATTTCTTGCTATCTAGCATGATTCAGCATTAAAATTTACATAAGTAAATACAAATCAATTTTATTTTCATCAATATAAAATTGTCCAGAGAAACAAATGCAATGGGTTTAACATTTTAATGAAATTTCAGCAAGGATATTACTTTGCCTCAACTAGGGTTTCTCAACAGTGTGCTGACATGTGAGGATAGATAATTCTTTGTTGTGAGGGGGTGTCCTCTGCATTGTAGGATGTTTGGCAGCATCACTGACCTCCCGTTTCCCCTATCCAGTTCTGCCAAACAAAAATATCGCCAAACACTGCCAAATGTCCCATAGAGGAAGTAGGCAAATTGCCCCTGGTAGAGAAGCAGTGCATAGACTAGTTTTTCCCACCCTACTCCCACTGTATTCACACACACACACACACACACACACACAAAGTGCGTGGCTTATAATATACATTGAAAGGAACAATGCCTTCTGATAAGACATCTGTTGTTAATTTTTTTTTTAAAGAACTCCCTTCATTCAGTGATAAAGTTCTCCAACTTTGGGGAATGTTAAGATTTTCTTACTAGATTTGATTTAGATTTCTTTATGACTGGTTAGTAGGTTTTACTTTTGCTTTCAACTCAAGTAACAGATAATATATTTTCTGGGACATGCTTATTCATCATGCACTCACCTATGAAAAAAGATACAAATAAACTAAACAGGGTTGGGGCACTTTTATTAAAACAAATAGCAACCTATTTCTAAGTTATTTGTTGGAGGACTACAACACTTTCTTTACCAAATTGATCTAGGATACATCAAGGAATTTTGAAATAAAAAGATTCTTAATGTAATTCAACCTTCTGAAAATACAGAACATTTTTTATATCAGTTATCTAAATCCAAACATCTTTTTCATTGGTTTAAAAATACAAATAAATGTTTATAGCCACC